ACCTGGCCTGGACATGAGGTGTATGTTACCCATGCTGAGCACCTTTCCCGATGCATACCATGCAGAGTGCATGCAGATGAAGGGACTTCTTTCCGGCGAGCTGGTATCTATCAACAGAGCTGGGGCCCTGTTCTGAAAGCAGGGCCGGCAAGTGCACTGCATTGCTTCTTTTACTCTGCAATGCTAGCGGATGAGTACAAGGATGCAATTGGGGTTATCGAAATATCATAAATTATCATAAACGGATTTAGCCACAGATCCTGTTTGCATAGACGGTTATATTTGTCATGTATATATGTGTGCATATATCATGCTTGCTGTGCTGTCCGGTTTCCGCAGGATGACAATCAAGGCTATGGTTCAGGCAACAACACCTTGGACAGCCTCTTGAAGCATTTCGTGGAAGATGCAAACGATTGCTATCTGAATGGTGTGCCTTCCCTCCAGGGGTTGTTTTACCTTGTCTTCATCCGTCTGGAAGGAGATCTTCCGGCGCAGGCCAAACTGGCACACTCAGGGCGGACCTACACCAATGATCCAAATTGCATGTGCCCCTGGTGCTCAGCAGATGGCAAGGACATGCCATTCGGTGACTACCGGAGGAATGCAGCCTGGCGAGGAACCATTGGCCGTGACCCGCCGTGGAGGTCATCGAGCCCTCTGCATGATCTGCCAGGAGGGGAAGATGATGGGTTCCTGTCGAAGGATTTGTTCCATATCAGCCATTTGGGCATAACGAGGACCTGTGTGGCATCTGTTATATGCTTCTTGGTTGAGATGGGATATTTTTTGCCTGCGCCGGAACATGGTACATCTGTGCCGGCCTGCCTCAAGGAGGCATACAAGGACTTCGCCTTCTATTGCAAGAACATATTGCATGAGACGCCCGATGTGAAGACGTTCACCAAGGACAACCTGCGATGGACCAGGGCGAAGTTTCCCGAGACCTCCTGGTTCCTTGCCTTTGGTGAATTTCCATTAAGGGCCCTAAGGACTCTATTAAAGGGCCCTTGGGGAGTCCATGGCTCTCCATCAAAGTAACCCTTGAGCTTACATATAGTGGCCTCAAGACTTCGAACGTTTTCGTGGCAGTTTTTATGTTGATAGAAACAATCCAAGTGCGAACAGAAGTGTAAGCTTCTTTTGTGACTTAAGGAAAGGCTCCGATGGGCGTTTGGTCACAAAGTGGCTGATCGAGTACCTATCGAGGCCCTGGCTCCTGGATGATATCACTTCGCATGTTTTCGACCTGCTGACAGCTCTCGATGACTTTCACCGCCTCTGCTATGTGGTCAGTGACAGAGTCTGGATGAATGCCACGCAGATGCGAAGTGCTCGGGCATTGTTGGGCCGGTTCTTTGTTGCCTACTCGATGGCAGCTCAGTTGTGCAATGGACGGGGGATGCTGTTTTTCAACATCACCCCGAAATATCATTACATGCTGCACATCGAGCACGACTTGAGACTTTCGATGGGCCACAGTTGGGGTTTAAACCCTGCTTGCTTCGCAACGCAAATGGATGAAGACTATATGGGTGTCTCTAGCCGATTTAGCCGTTCTGCTCACCCACTCGGTGCTGCAAAGCGAACGGCTCAGAGATGGCTTATATATTCGTGGTCCAAGTGGAAGCCTCACCTGTTTCACGTGTGATCAGCAGCTCGAGCGCTGACTGAGAAAACATGGGGGGCCGAGTGTGTCTGTGCTGTGTTTGTCTTTGAGACCTCTCTCTCTTTCTGCTGTGCAAATTCCTTTTCGCAAAGCTGTCATGCATGCATATACTATATATATATATAATATATATATATATATATACACTATATATATATAAATGTGATAATACGACAACAATCATGTATAGTATACATGACTACATGGTATAATATATATTATTATATATATCATAAATATTATATATGTCATGTTTTTGCAAAGAATAACGGAAAAAACGAACAAACAGAAAACCAAAAAAAACGCGAAACCAATATCTTTTAGTTTCTATCTTTGAACCAAAATAAACCACTACAAACCCATGTCTAGGTAGAGACATCCCAGTCAGAAGTCCTGCCGGTTGGAATCAGACAAAATTGCAGCAAGAACCGCTTGCCGCCTATCTCGGAGATCTGTCAACGCATTGCTTCAAAGGCTCTAGAAAGCCTGGCTCGCAGAACGGGACTGCAGAATGCGCGGGTTGCACCTGGAATAGCAAGGAACGCCTTCCATGTGCTTTGAGTTCGAATCTAAAGCTGGGCTAGGGGCGGCTAGGGTTGACCAGAAGGCCTAGCCTGAGCAGCGACATGCAGGCATACAGTGCAGCCTGACAACAAGATTCTTCGAAAGCGCAAGAAGCTAATCCGGATGGCTCCCGCGTCCTGCATGGGCTAAGGACTAAGGCACCTCAAGACTTTGGCAACCACATAGCATGCACTCCGGCCACTGAGCAGGGCAGCAGTTTGCGAAGTCCGAAACCTCAACATTATAATATCCATGTATGTCCAGCACTCGTGCAGGATCGGGCCCATAGTACGGGCCCATAGTTGTGTCATACTCATATGTATATAATATAAAAATAACTAAATATAAATATAAATAAATATAAATATATATATATATATATATTATATATATATATATATATATATATACGTATACATACATACATATGTATCTGATTATCGCATGGCGGTTGGACCACCCGAAAACATGATCAGCTCTGCCTCCAAACCTGAAAAGGACCAAATGAAGCCTTGGCAACACACGCTCACGTGTCTGCCGCATCTTCTGAATATAAGTAGCTGGAAGAAGGACAAGCCTAACGAACTTTTTGCAATGATTTCAACAAGAATACCACAGTCCGATAGTCCATAGAAATGTTAAAACTATGTGATGGAAGCCTTCAAAATTTGATACTGGTGTCCACAAAGCCTTCAACTGAAAATGACCACATGCTAACACATCTGTTGTTCGGAAATGCTATGCTATCTTGACAGGTGCTTGTAGTGTCAACAGCTAGGTTAATGTTGAGCGGAACTTGTTCCGGCCCGAGTCGTTCGTGGGGGGAGTGCTGATCAAAACGCTACATTACTAGGGCTTCGGACGCCTGACAATCGAGACCTGTGCAGGCACAGTCGTACGCACATGGACTGCGGTCCAAACCCCACCCACACAAACACAAACACACACACACACACACACACCCGCACACACAAACACACACACACACACCCACGCACGCACGCACGCACGCACGCACGCACGCACGCACGCACACACGCACACAGACAAAGAAGGGAGCACACACACACACACATACACACACGCAAACACACACTCTCGCAGGCCGCAGATGTGTCTGACTCAAGTGCACCAGAAACCACAGCTAACCCAGCACATAGAGCTGCCATGATCTTGCCCAAGATTGAACACAATAGATGTTCTAATCTTGGCTGGCTGGGATGTGGACACCTCAATCATGACGCCAAATGGCTTAACTGATGATAGTTGGGGTTGCAATGGTATCAACCTAGATTATCGTACAAATCGAAAGTATCGATTGAAGCAGGCCTGCTACCCAGTCTGTCCCCACTGCGTGCCAAGTTACCTGCGCCGCATAGTGAAGCACCACAAGGACCGGGCTCAATCGCATTATCATTTGAAAAGCTTGAGCCGAAACAGTTGATGGTGAGGCGTGAGGTCAGCTAATGTCGACATCAAGCTCCCAAAACATGACAACCTCGATTTAGTTACTTTGATTTGTATCCGTTGAATAGGGTCCACAGGTTCAGAGTCAGCACATTCCAAATTTTCTTGGGCGGGCAAAGATAGATGGGGACTTCCGTAATTTATGTTTGATAAATCCTAACCTTTGGGTCTCTGTTATGAGGGTCGACACGACATCTCAACGACCTGGACAGGTCATGCCACGAGCCCTTGTTTGGAATGGCCGCCTCCATCTCCTGTGATGCATCTTCTTCAGCATCGCCTGAACTCGAGCAGCATTGGCCTCTTCCCTTCATGTATAAGCTGCGGTTTCCGTACGTGCGTACATGCATGCACTGATACGGGTCAGCCACGATCGCCGCAAACGACACAACGGCAGACATGTACAAGCACAAAGACCAGCACGCAAATCGTGCATGCTATCTACACCTGCATGATTCCAATAACTACTACCTGTGTCTGCCTACATGGTTGGCGCATACATGCAAACAATCGGGCACTCGCGCACTTGCAAGCGCAGGTCCACGTGTTGACACTTGGCTTGCGAACAAGCAAACCTGACAGGAATATGTGCAACCAAAACGTAAGACAGAGACTAGACCAGTAATTTGTTACAACAAGCAAACAACCACGGCAATCAGGGACAGAGACGGAGGAGCACAATACACACGCAAATACTGACAACCATTCAAAAAAAGCACACCCCATCTCTCTCACAAACACATGCAATGCTATGGACAAACATGAATACACATACAACCCGCGCGATCCACAAACAAACGTCATGTCCATACGTGTACTTATGTATCTGCACATGCAAGTCTTACCGCAAATAGTGAACAAGAGCCGTGCATGAAAAGTTATTGCAGACCCTGGGTCGTGAGATATGCGAAAGAGGATGCAGATTCTGCATGCATGCACACATGGATAGGCAACTTTCGCTGACAAGCGGCGCAATAAATATGTATGCATGCACTTATACACTAAGAACTGTGTTAAGTACAGGACAAGAAATGCCATGACGAAACTCGGCGCTCGTATACTCTCGTATACCTCCGAAACAGCAAACGAAAACACTCAGTCGCTTCATTCACAGCTGGAGTTGTGTGCGTGTATGGGCAGGTAGCAGGCACGTAGAGATCAGACGCGCGACAGCCCTGCAAAGTGCCAGATGTTTCGATTCGAGAACAAAGAGCTCTGGCAGTGACCCGTAGTGCAGTAGTGTGGGACGCATCCAGGACATCGTGCAAAGCAAGAACATCTCATCACCGCTCACTCTATGTTACGGCGCCTGGTGAAGCCCCATCTCAGCCAAAGCGCAGCCCTCCTCGGCCTCCTGGGCTCCACAATTCCGAAGCGAGAGTCGCGGCCGAGGAGTGGAGAAGTCCACGGCGGTGCCTGGAAGTTTCTGCCGGATGGCTTGCGTCTTGAGGCGTCTTGATCTTGCAAATTCAGCATTTGCTCCAGATTACTTCGAAAGTCGAGAGGCAGCTGCAATCTATTCTATGCCCCACGCGGGCCGTGCAGATGTATGTCCAGGACTCACCACGACAACGTGCCTTGAGTATTGATGCAAGGACCCGAGATCCGAGCCCCAAACGCTGTCAAAACAATGCCACCGCGAAGCACTCTTTGGAGAATTGGACTTCAACATCTGGCCACATCTCGCGCAGCTCCTGCCGACACGCCACTCGGGCGATGGTCCGGCTTCGCTCAGGCCCAGTTGGGTTTGACGCTCAGCAAGCTGAGAACTCGTGATCACATGAATGCCTCCGCTTAAACTTCACAGAGCAGATAACATGTACTGCAAAGCATTGGTCTCCAGTCTCATTCAGTCTGCATCTGAATATAACAAGCATCCGCTCCTCGTACAAGCAGCTTGAGAGGCGGTCTCTTGCGATGACTTTCCTTAAAAAACCAGATTTGCTCTCCCACGCCTTGAACGAGCTGAGCACAACCGAACCTCCCGTTCCGCGCGCACAGTCCCAGAGAGATGAACGATTTCCGGATCGAAAGAAAGTTCTGCCGTCACGAGACACCAATAACAAACCGCTACTCATGTGGCTTTGTCGGGCAGCTTGCGGATGCTGATCATCGAGTTTAACAACCGCCGTTTGTATCATATCCGGGGAAAACGAAACACAACCAGTGCCAACATTGTCCTCACACCTCATTTGCAGATACCTAAAGCATTCTCCTGCCCCGATCATCGCCCCTGCTCGGCATGCATCCACCCCTCAACGACAAGACCTGCCAGGCATCGTGAGGAACCGCCGCTTGTTGATCGTAACTTTTGGCTCGCCCTCGCCTGACCAGTCCTGCAACTCGGATCGGGCCTTGCTATTTCATAATGGTTCACAAGACAACCAAAATTTTTGAAACCCCCCGAAGTGGCCATCCATTCCATCCTTGCGGCCGACCACAGTCTGGCTCCATCGGTCAACACGCTCCAGGGCCCCGAATTTGGCCAAAGCCCGCTGCCCGCGGCCTCGAGTGGAAGGGTTCGTTTCCCTTGATTTGAGGCTGCAGGTGGCAGGGTACGTCATCTGGCTTCGTGAATCGGGTTTCGTCAACCGTCTCAATAAAAGCTTTGTTGCTGAGCGCGCCGGAACATGCCCATCAAACTCCAAGCGACAGCCTTCTGCAGAGAAATCGGGTCCCGGAGCAAGCCGAGCACACTAGTGGTACAGTATGCCCCTGAACAGTCCCCGGCCTCCAATCCCCAAATTGTAGGAGCGATCTGGATCTCCCCACACCTTGCAGGACAATACTTGCCGAATTTATTCCAACTCGCAGATTGTGGATGGGTTAGTTGTATCTTGGGAATTCATCAGCAGAGTTGTGGCTTGTCTCTGCTGTCACAACCTTGGATTTTGACCCAGTTTCACCAGGATGAACCATCATCGCCGAATATCGCCGAAATCCTCCGGAACCCGTCAAGAACTGCCACCAAGACCCGTCAGCACGATTCGTCAAGGCAACATTTTGTTCAGAAATGGCCACCAAGGCGAAAATAAAACTCAAATCGGGCGAGTAGCTGCAGCATCAGGGCTCGGCGGCTCCGGCAAGCGATCGAGCACCCGAACCTTTTGCCGAATGCCGGTCAAGGCCACATCTCAGGCGGCAGCGAACCCAATTCCCGACACACCGGAGACAACAGCCTCATATGCACGCTGTAAACTTCCGAATTCTAGAAGCCCAAGACAGCTGTCATCAGCTGCTTTGGATGCTTGCTTCTCTCCGGTTGCTGCCTTGCGGAAACCGCGCCGTGCCAGCGCCAGGGCCGTAAGGAGCCCAACAGGTCCAGCACCGACAACTGCAACGCTGAGGCCTTGCTCCTGATTGAGGCTTAGTTGTGCGGATTGAGTCCCTGCAGAGTCAGCATTTCTCGTGACAGACTTTTGAACCCAGGCTCTGATCCTGTTCAGCTGGGAAGCCGGCCACACCCGTGCTCCGCACAAGACGCAGTTTTGCATTCTTTTCGTTTCCTTTCGCTACTTCAGGCGGTTTGAGTCAGCCATTGCTGACAGGTTTTGTTTTGTTTATTTTGTGTGTATGTATGACTCTCTCTCTATATTTATCTACACATACATATGTATATGTGTGTGTGTATATATATATATACACAGACATTAATCTTATATAAAAACGTGTTTTCTTGTATGTGTTAGATGTGTGTATGTATTTGCATGTTGCACACACACACATATATATATATATATATATATGTACACACATGTGCGTGTGTGCGTGTGAGGGTGTGTGTGTGTGTGTGGACACGTCTGCCTCTTCGAGATTGGTTCGGGCTTTGCTTCGGTCAGGAGGGTTGAGCTTCGAAGGTGGCTGTGTGCATTCGCGGACGACTTGATATTAGCAGTGCTGTAAGTGTCACGATGTATGGGGTTGAACGTGAGGTAGATTCGGCTTCAAGCTCAAAGCACTCCCTCCTTCAGAGCCAGAGCTGAGGGCAGCTGTAACCCTGAGAAGATATTGATGCCCTGCCAATAAAATGGAGGATCCAACAACAGGACGAAGAACAGCAAGTTTAAACAAGCAGGAACCGAAATCCAGAGTGTCCACCACTGGACATACATGCATGGGTGCACGCACATTTGTAGGTACGTATGTACACGAATTATATACAGATCATGAAAGTATAGTCGATGCATGCATCCGCCATTGCACGCGAGTTTCGATCTGTCTGTATAACATGCACGGCTTAATTTGCACATGTGCGGTGTGTCTGCCAAGCTCTCACTCAAGAAGCAGAAGGGGAACGAGGGGGGCGGAGCTTGCTGCAATCATCGTCTCTCTGAGCAAGCAAGCTGTTTTTGACGACGAGACATCTGAAAAGACTCACTGAATGGGAACGCCTTCTCACTTTGCCAAGGGGCTTCAGTGGCCTCTTGCCCTTCGGTGGCCCGCACGGCGTGGCTCGACCGAGACCAACCTTGCCGCACCTTGCAGCGTGGGCAGCATCAGGACGCTTTCCCCCTCATCCCTCTCTCTGCCCCTGTTCAAGGTTCAAAGGACACGGCTTCGGGGACCTCAACGCCGCAGGGTCCGGCATAGGAGTTTCCAACTTCGTGTTCGGCAGAAATTTGGTAAGCACTGCGAAGCCGACAGCATGACAACGCTGTGCCGGATGGTACGCCAAAATGCTCTACGGAACACACTCGGATTCTCACATGTCTGCGCCAAGCGGGTGCCAGCGTCAACGTAAGCGCCGGTGTTGGTGCAGACGCCAGGGCCATGGCTCGCGGATGGGCTTTCTGGGTTTATGCAAGAGCCCGTGGCAATTTATTAGTCACATGGTCAAGGGCAGAAACGAGATGAGGTTCCTTATGGTTCCTTCGTCCTTGCATCAGGGATCCAGAGTAGGAGCCTTCATTAAACGAATCGTGAAACCGATCAGGAGAAACGCTTGTGTCAGATGGAGAGCAGTGAGAGCTGGAGGTCGGAACTAAATCGCCCCTACAGTCCTACTCCACAGACCTTGCCAGAAACCCGCTGGAACATGATCTTCAACATACCCAGCGTGGAATCCAGCGCGGAAACTCTGTAGTTGCAAAGGTCCCCTGGGATGTAAGTAACCGGGGCACAGAAATCATCGTCAGCACACCGCACAGCTTCGGCCTGCAACTGCTACTCCGCAAGCACCCATCCACAGCATCAAGTTGCATCCCAGGGGCCATGGCAAAGGACGACGTAGTCCTGAGTTTTGAGGGTTGTCAGATGCCAGGGCAGCACGTCGTGAGTAAAGGACTTCAACTCTCGCGACCAACATACCTAGAAGTGTTAGGCCCTGTGCAGGAGAGGCCCGGTGTGAGCCTTTGAGCATGATACTGGCCTCCTTTCCCGTAACGCACAGCCTCAAGCGGATGCAACGGCTTGCTGTGATCTTGACCTTCATGTGCAGCGTGAAACTGTACTGTCATTGGGTAGTGAATCGCACAGCTCCCTCTCACAGAAACGAGCAGCCAACAATTAAAAACATCTTCGACAAACAATATGCTGTCGGTCCTAACAAAACATGCTTGCACATAGAACGAAGAGCTCGAACGATGGCGCCGGTGTTTAGCTGCAGCTTCAGGTCGTAAAAAGCCTCGAAGCTCTTTGCCGTCCTGGGTGCTGCAGGTTCCGGGGCTGGAGATTCTGAAACTCCGTGCAAATTGCTACAGCAACTCTCAAGCCTCTCGTCCTCGGAGCTCTTCTGGCTGCAAAAGTAAAAGTGTTCGGTGCACTCGTATCTGTCCTCTGTTTCATTCCTGTCCTGTACCCTTAATTGCTATCTGCCATATCTCGTTTAGTGGAAAGGGGACTGTGGGAAGGCATGGCTTTGAAACCCAAGGACTCCGCATCGGGGCAAAGGACGATTCCAAAGTTGGACGGGGAACACAAGCAACAACGCCGATTTTCATGCTGCTGGAATGGGACAAAGAAGCCGCAGCACGCGCTGCGTCTCGAACATCCAAAGCAAGGCGGAAAAGTTCTTTCAACCGGACGGGAGCTCTAAGCAGCCGGGGTTTGCGGAGTTGTGAAAGGTGCTCGTCTGCTAATAGCAGCTTCGTAGCAATCGCAGTTAGTCGGGGCCCGACACGTAAAGTCATCAAGAAAGTTGAATCTGTCACAACATCCACGAGTAAACTGGAACAGTCGCTATCGAGAACCAGCTTGCATGCACGCCCTCTTTTCTCAGACATCTAGGATAAGTAGCGCCAAGGTCGAAACAGAACCGGTTGCTGTGGCGCGGCATACAGTTTTCAGAGTCAACATGTCACCATGTCACCTCTGCGGCCAGGGTCGATTTTCTGATATGAACTTCTTCCTCTTCTTTGGTCGGCTCTCCCGCTTGGATGCTGAGACAGATCGGTTTCGCTTCTGTCTTGCCGCTGCGCGGCAAGATCAGGCCCGAGCTGGGGGTGTCGAGGCGATGCAGCAATCCTGCGACTTTGCGACATGTCTCTTTGGGAATAACGGGGGTTGCTTCGCTCTCGTTCGGCTATGAGTGGATCTGTTTGCATCCAAATCAAAACCTAATAACTTCTGCACCGCCTGTTTTCCTGCTTCTGTAACGATCCTGAATGAAGGGCATCCAACCATAGCGCCTGCAAAAGTTCAAGCCTTCGGAGATCTCCGGAGGCCCTGAACATGTCTGCATGAATCAATGAGGCGTCATATCCTCAACAAACGGAACAGCCACAATAAGCATTCCAGCAAGATGCTTCTCCCAACTTGTGGTGGCACCACTTCCAAAGTGTCGCCCGACCACCACTCCCGTCCCTGCAGTCCGAAACCGTGCTCGGCATCACGGAAGATGGGGCATCCGAGATCCTTCCAGGTGTGACATGCAAGGCGGCCCAGAGGCATCATAGGTCACAAGTTCCGCTTGATCGGGGCTTCCACATCTTTTAACCTCCGTCAAGCCGCCGGGTTTCGGCGAACAAGGGAGGCCGCCGGGTTTCGAGGGTTGAAGGGAGGGAGAGAGGGAACAAGAGATGAGGAAGAACAACGGAGCAAACCAGTGCGAACCATCCTGGCCCTGGGTTTGTTAGATTAAGCGGCGGTTTCATCCGCATTGCAGAATCAACTCTTGCATCGATGAAGCATTTCGGCAGAGGCGCACGCTTTCGCCGAGCATGTCCATACATTGTGCAAAGCATACGTATGACCGACAGAGATCCCTGGTCGGTTGCTGTAACTAGTACAAGAAACCTCCGAACATTCAGGGATCTCCGCTTGAACGCGCACCACCATGGAGCCGAGAAGGCTGCCGAGCATACCCAGACGCGGGCGCAGTTCGCCCAAACGTGCACCCGGCCTGCACGAACTCGGACAGGTGCTTCCCTTTGCCTGCGTCTGTCGTATCCACCTGCGAGCTTCCGCTGAGACCAGCTCTGCAATGCAGTACAACAGAGAATAGCAGAGAGATCTGAATCCCAGGCATACACCCCATAACGGACTACATATGTCAATCTGTGTTTTTGATCTTGAGGACTTCCGATGGCCAACAGGAATGCAGCGTGCCGCCGAATGATGTTGACACTGAAAGCGAATGAATCAAGTCGCTTGAGACACAAGATGGACTTACTTCTGATGCCCAAAGCTTTCCGGTGATCGGATGTGAGCACATTACAGTGGAAGTTTGGAAACCGTTCCCTGCCTCCCAGCCTGGAGGTTTGAAGAGCACAAAACCTGAAGCTGAAGATCTGCTCACAAAACCGGCAACAACTTCACGGCTGCAATCTGCCATGATCCCAGTCATCCAGAATAGCTGACAAAGATCGTCCCCGAATCACGCCTGTCCTATCACCTCGACTTCTTCAATCCTGCTCTCTTCTACGGGAGCTTGCCTTGTCGTCCGGGAGTTTCCTCAAGCATTGGGCTCCCTCAACCCGCAATCTCAAATTAAGGCTTCGTGCTCGGGAACTCGAACCCCTCGGCCCAGCATATCCTCTTGGCCAGCGGCGGTCGGGTAAGTCAACCACGATCTCCGGGACGGAGCTCACCGAGCGCCCTGTTGGAAGTTCTGCGTGGCCATTTTTTCGGGTTATACTAGCCTGGAGCTGGGTTCACAGGGACCGGGGTTCCTCCTCAAGATTTCCCAAAGGCCTCGCAAATCCCGGGCCTTCTGCCACAGTTGCTGGATGCCAGTTTCTTCCAGTGTTGTTTGCATCCAGCTGTCGACCCCGGGCTCGCAGGAAGGAACGTACCTGACCTTGGTGATGCTGTGAAGCTGAGAAGGTCTGAGGAACCATGACTAGGAGGTGCGTCCTCGCAGCTGCAAGATTGGATTGGCAGCGTTCCGTACTCCCAGCCGACTTTGCGATCCTGCTGCATCTTGAACGTTGTGGCCATGTGGCTGTAGAAACCTTCGTCCAAGAGGTCAACCTCAAGTTGGAAGCGGTGGCATGGCACAAGTCCCTACAGCAACAAGCTCTGGTGGTGATCCCACACAAGATAGGAAGGCAATAGACTCTGCAAAGACTTCGCGGAGACTCGAGCAAGCAACGGTTGAAGCCAGGCTGCCACATGTTGCATCTATCCATATATTGATTAATCAATTAGCTTAATAAGTTTCCAGAAGCCTTCGTAAGTTCAAGAGTCAAGCTCGCTAGCGCGAGACTGCAAGCGCGGTCAAGCGAGCATGAGTGAGAGAGCCAGCCAGCCAGTGAGTGCATGCGCGCGCATACGTGCGTGGGTGCGGGGTGGGGCGGGGGGGGGGCGGGTGGGGTGGGTGGGGTGGGAGGGGTGGGAGGGGTGGGTGGGGGCGGGTGGGGTGGGGTGGGCAGGGTGTGTATGCGTCTGGGTGTGTGTTGGCCAATCGGTTGGTCGGTCGGTTGGTTGGCGGGTTGGGAGTGGGAGTGAGTGTGGCGGAAGGGTGACAGCAAAAATGAGGCATTGCCCACCAAGCAGCGAAATGGAAGGCCCAAACTATTCCCGTCAAGCTGATGGAGACGTCGCTCTCGCACAGATCCGGGCGCAAGTGCCTGCGATTTTGAAACATGCACGATGTCACAGCAATCGTTGATTACAAAGTGCTTGGAGACAGGGGCTGAAGCCAGAAAGAGGAGAAGAGCTAGGGGTTGGCCAGAGGAAAGGATAGCTGGGATTTTGGAAAAACTAAGAGGAGGAGATGACAAATGGAGCTGGAGAAAGAGATAGCTCAAAAGGGAGAGTCTAGAGCTATTCCTCCACGTCACATAGTGCCAGCTGTGCCAGTGGCATCAACCAAGGCCAGACCCAGCAGCAGAAGCGCTGCAAAGCCCCGGGCTGCATTGGCCTGTTCCAAGGTGCGCGCAGGCAAATGTGGGAGCAAAGGGTTTCGAAGTCCAAGGAACTGAAAAAACTCGATGAAGCACGGGCGTAGAGGCGTGAGGGCACGTGGGTGGGGTGGCCTGGATGCCTTCGACAGGACAGAGTGCTCTCAACATTCTCAGCACGTCAAGGCTGATAATGATGAACTTTCCAGTGAATGCCTACCGCGGACAGTCCAAGCTGCACCAAACTGTGCATACCAGCGGCCAAGTTCTGCGGGGAAGAGTCTGATGCTCTGGACATGGCAGCCTCGGTTCTGGGACTGCTGATGTCGAAGGCATGATGCTTTAAATAAGGCACACAGAAGAACGCTGGAGGAACACATAGTGTCAACAAGGTAAACGTACAGGCTTGGGAATGTGTAGAACTCCTCCTCAATGGTGAAAGACATACATATGCATGCGTGCACATACATACATACATACGTGCATTTTTGGCACTCGCTCTCGACTGCATATATACATACATACGCACATGCCTGCCTATCTATCTTAGGGAATATCGGCAATATCGCAAGTATGTACATCCACACCTGCAAGAACAAATGTATGAATGAATGAGTACATAAATGACTAAAACCAGACTTACAAACATGCTGCAGATTTACTACGAACGTTTGTATACAGCATATACATATACAGCCCATATGGACAGATTGAGAGCATGTATATATTTTTGTTGTGTTGTATGTACTTTCTATAAGGGTGTACACAGACAAGAGCAGCTCATCATGCTGTCCATATAGAACCAGCGCCGTCCTCGGAGCATACATAATTCATATGTAGTACTCCATGTAACCACATCAATGACAGCTGCGCATATCTCTACATGTGTAGCTACAACTTTACATGCTTGCCAATCTGTTTGTTTTCCGTTCGCGGCTTGATGTGCTTTGCCGGCTCGAAGGCAGATCTTCGGGTCTTGCGAGCAGCTTCTGCGGGTCAATTAGGGGGGGAGGTGTTAGCATATACACATATATATATACACATACATACATATTCACACATATGCTACATGCTCGCCCCGACCCCCGACCCCAAGAATCATGCGCTGGTGGTTCAAGTATGTTCAATCTCAAAACTCCCGGAACACTGTCAAGCTGTAAATATTCCAACATCCTGGCATCATTTCCAGGCCGGTGCAGCTTCCCTTAAAACTTTGGAATTTTCCGAGCATTACAGCGTTTTGCGAGGTTCAGGCTACGAAAGACAATAAGGAAAAAACAATCCGAGAATTGAGTGGGGACCTACCCCAGGATTTGGGAATGTGGAATTTTCGATCACTACAGTGTTTCGAGAGGTGCGTGATTGGAATTTTTGTCATGTTTTGAGCATCACAGTGTTTGGTCATGTGCAGGACACGAAGCACTGCATCACAACACAGTCCAAAAAATGGAGCTCTCCTCGGCCTTCCAGGAATTAGAGGGCCCACCGTACTTTCATTCCCTTTCAAACCGAAGACTGTAGGAACCGTTTTGCATTCTGCTATCATTACAGGACAATGGAGATTTGCCAAGCGCCTTCCTTTCAACTTTAAGGAGTTCTCATTTACAGTTGTTGCTGTCATCTCATATCCTGACTGGAAGAGTACCGATCGCCGTGTCCATGGTTGTTTCTCTAATAGCTGTCATAGAGCGTAACACAACAATTAAGAAGAGCTTCTCATCTTCAAGAAATCCCCCAGCGTAACACAACATTATCTTATCAACAGATCGCCAAGAACTTTTGGACCGAAACATTTTACTAAACCGCTGTAGACTTCTTGTGTTTTTCGCAAACATCAAAAAACTTCTATTCATTCTTATTGAAGCTGCCTCCCTCAGATCCTTATCCTGAAAACTGATACCGATCGCTCTGTCCATGGCTGTGGTTTCAACATACAATGCAGCTCTCTTCAGTCGGTCCCATCTGATTTTTTTTGTCTTACAGCAGGAGTTTCGTGGCTCTTGCTTGATACGTATGAGAGGGCCCATCTCTTACTTATACGAAGACTGTAGGAACTCTTCCAGATTTGCAATAGAGCCTGCCTATGCTCCTTGCCTTGAAAGTGAAACTTTCATTTACTCCTGTTGATGCTGTCTTATATCCTCAACAAGAGATACCGATCGCTATGTCCATGGTTGTCGACGTATGTCAAAAGATAAAAAAAAACCTTTCTTCCGTCAGGTCATCTTGCGTTTGCTACGAGGATAAGAAGCCCCTAAATTTTCATTGACGAGAAGACGGCAAATCCTACAGTATTTATTCATCCTGCTTCATATCTGAAGGTTGAAAGAGCTCTCTTTCTACTTGCTGGCGAAGAGCCTCGCCCCCCCCCCATGAAAAAGAAACTTCTTCCGATCTCTTGTGAAGGAAAGAACAGTCATTGGAGTTGGGATTCAACAACAGAAGCGCTCAACTATTGGATTTCCTGTATTCATGCTGGCAAGGAGCTTTCTCTGCCTTCTCATGAGTAAACCAGACGTTAGAGCCAGTAGGCACCATTAGGCATCAGCACAATCGGACGCATCACCCGCGGCGGGATTGTGATGGCTCGCGCGCACACACACACAGACATGTTCGTAAGAAAGAATGTGCAGCAGTGTAGCATTTGTGTGGCATTAGGAATATTTAGGAATGTCGCTAAAAAACACACTAGAAAGCGCGATGAAATGCAAGCACGAGGGGTCTTTAGTACCACATTAACAAACTTGGCACACCCTTCAGCACTTGCAGCTTTCCAACACATAAACCACCATTACTCTGGGGCCGAAGTTCGGAAACAAATTCACACACGTGTCGAGCCCGCGACGTATAGCAGCACGGTTATTTGCGTCACATGACGACAGGCCCGATTGTATCGGTATCTACGGTGATTTATGCAGATCAGAGTCGTGTACCGATAAGCGTAAGGTGGATCTTTGGGGGCGGAGGGCGGGTGACCATATACATGTCTGGGTGCGTGTGTGCATATATCTGTACATTTATATGCATATATGTACACACATGCACCTACATATACATACATACATACATACATACATATATGTATATACATATACACGCACATGTGTATGTACAATACGTTAAGTATTATATATACATGTATACATATGTATACACACAATTGTCTACGTATGCAATGTATGTATGCATGTACCTACATATGTATATATATATATATGTAACACACACACATACATACATGTATATATATATATATATATGGATATACTACATAATATCATTTCCGAACATGAGTGGTGAGAAAACACTTCGCACGGATCAGAAGCTCAAGCAGTCTCCGCAAACATATGTGGTACAACCATGTGCATGAACTTCCTATGTATATTGAGATATACATATTGAATACATATATATATATACACAAACATGTATACATACCCGAAAGCATACCCACACATGCTCATGCTTTCGCATAGTCTCATGATGTCGCTGGCCTCCACCGCTCCGCCAAGCGGAACCACTTCTTCAAACCCCAGCGTCGCGCAAGCCCAAGCGAAGTTGGCTGGATCCTGCTGCTGAGGCTCAGAAGACCGTCAGTCTCCAACTCTGCCGACTTGCTGCAAACAACATGCAAGGCTACTCCTGGCTGATGGAATTGGTAGACTCCTCCCCCCCCAGAAAATGGCTTCCCCCACTTGGGATCCTCGTTACCCCTCGCTCTGAGGCACCCAGGTTTCATGCTTCTGTGCTAGCCGATACCTCGCTTGAATCGAACTGGGCCCTGGAGCATGATAACAAGAAACATTCATACAGTTCGAGTCAAATACGTAGCGAAGTGGCTCGGTCGTTCCGAGCACCAAGCAAACCCAACCCAACCATGGTCCTGAGGACCAAGCTCTGAAAGGGTGCCTCGCAGGGCAGGAGCTTCTTCGTTTCTGAGAGTTTATGCACATCTACACAAAGCGAAGCGCTTTGGGCTTCGATACAGCACCACTAGCAGCAGCCTCACACAGCATCCCTGATTGGAAAGATGCTCGGGCGCAAGTATCTCTGCAAATGCATGTCAACAAAAACATGTGTGGTTGGCTTGGGCTACACAGTAAGGCATGTATCTCTACATAAACAGATACAATAAACAAACAGATGTGTGTATCTATGTGCCTTTTCATGTGCAAGTCTTTTCAGCTTTCGTGCGAGAGAAGATGTTTTTTTGTGTTTGTGCAGTTTGTGTTTGTGTATGCATGTACACACGACTGCGCACATATGGAACTATGTGCATAATACACCATTGTATCTGCTTGGGGTGGCTTTCTCTGTGTATGGATATAGGCGCAAACTTTCGAACTACCTGTAGCATACAGCTGTTGATCTACTATGCATGTCTTTTGCTTGTTATTTGTTGCTCTTGCTTGCTTGCTTGCTTCTGGGTTTGGGCCCCCGAAGGAACCCTGGCCCGAAGGCCGAATTTCTCAACGGTCCGCAAATCTCGAAGGTCACCAGGCTCCTTGCGCGGATGAGAGAAAGTCTCGTTCCCCCACCTGAGCTCGTTAACCCTGTCCCCCCAACACACCCCTGCTAAGACCATACCATCAAAGACTTCCATCAAAGACTTAGTTATATGTTGTCCTTCTTCCCCGGGGCATGAGGGGGTTGCGACGCCCCTCGGCCACAAGGGCGCCCGCGTTGTTTGTGGGGGCATTGGAGGAGTTAAAACTGGAATGTTTCCCCGTGGGAGTCAACGTTGCTCTCTCTCTCTCTTTCTCTTCTTCTGCAGGGCTTGGGAGGCGGTTTCGACGCTCACACTCGCACGCAGCAGGCAAGGCTCCACATAGTCCACAGTATCTCCACTACTCTAACTGACAGCCCACATGGGTGCTCCGATGGATTTACAGTGTCAACAAAAGTGTAAAGCCAACATACCAAATCAGTAGCGAAGACACACAATATGCAGAAAGGAACCATCAGGCACACAGCAGACTGCGGTTTGGGCGGTCGCCCCTATTTCAAAATATCACCGTCACATCTACTCAGGCCCTCGTTGTGCTCCACCATGCCAGGTGGCTTGGTTCATGCATCATGCCAGGTCTTTCGCCCAGCTCAAAGCGTGACATCATGCAGCGCATCTTGCAGCAACAGATTCCCAATTCACATCGTGCTGTCATGCAGTTCATCAGCACATGCAGCATATATATACATGCAACCACCTCTCCTTCTTGCATTCCATCCAGCATACATCGCTGCTCCGGTGAGCACATGCATATCTGCGTCAGAGACTATAGGCATTCCCGTAAGAACGTCGCAGTCCTTTGACCCAACGAAGACAGTAGTCGACGTCCTGAAACCGGTACTTGAGCGTATGGAGGTCGCTTCCAAAAACAAGATGCAATCGATCACGGAGGACGTGGGGCTGAATCGTGGACAGGCGAATCAGCTGCACAAAGACAAAGTCACCCTCCTCAAGACCATGGAAAAGAGCCTCTCCACCCTCCAGAACCATGTGGACAACATGGGTGGTTCTCTGGCACAGATTGGAGCGGCGATGGGTCGTGCACCGATCGACAGTGCTGGACAGAACAGGGCCATCGACCTTCTTTTGGCCCATGGGGAGACGCAGAAGGAGCACTCGGACCTACTGGAGAGGACAGACCAGATCTTGCAGGAGCTACGGGAGACCTGCCGGGATCAGTCCGCGAAGACCTAGGAGCTCGGCAGTATAGTATTTGAGTTGAGGGAAAGGTTCGCTGAGCGCTTCGGCATGCGTGGAAGTGTGCCACTCACGCCCATCCAGACGGCGCCCTCCCGGGCACCGACAGTGATCGACTTGCAGTCTCGCATTGCACGGCCTGTCAATTTTGAAACGGTCACCTTTCCAGACGGTAGAGTCTCCATGGTGCCGGAGGATCAGCTCCACTAGAATGCCCTAGGGAGGTTTAGCTCTATACCTGCCCTTTGTTCAGGCATACTTGCTTCGTTGTGTTTGTTACCCTGTTGATGCATGGAGCGAGGAATCTGGAGCACCCACTAGTCGCAGAGCTCTTATCTAGGTTCGGTATGGTGTATTTACTGAACACTTTAGCTTGCGGCTTATTGGTTGATCTAGCCTCCGGGCCTGCATGTGCAAGAGCTCTGCATGGAATACAAGCCTTGATACTTTTGCAGCTTGCGCCCCCCCTTAATACGTTTGAGCCCGTAGACGGCTTCCTGTTCGCATTGTATTCATGTATGTCTTCTTGTTTACGTACATCCTTTGGTTTATGCGGTACAAGGCAAAGGGGTCTTGGGACGTGAGCACTGAATTTACATGTACCGTATGCATGGGTTGGAATTTAAAGCATGAACACTGCATGCATGCGAGCCCAAATGTACAGTTGCCTGAATTCTGCATGTGCATGTTGTGATATGCCGCCTTGCTTGTAAGCGAGTTTTGCATGTTGCACTTTGCATGTGAGAATTTAATAAAGCATCGACCCTCGTGCAGCATTCTTATTTGGTTATACTAATGTCACTCTTCCTAGTACATGGTCGAGGGCTTGCCTAGGCACACTGCACCAGCTGTACAGGGCAAAGTCATGCCAACCTCGGCTCGGATGTCTGTAGCTGAGCTCAAAAGGAAGGACGTGCGAGGGCAGCTTGGCAGTACGCGACTGTGCTCAGAAGCCCAATTGTGAAACCGAGGGGGCTGCCCACACCCTAGAATTCCCCGGCCCTTTGATCGAGTTAACTCACTCACCCTACAAGCCCACGCCCGGAGCCTCAGTCATCACCATGCCTGCTTTCATCAGGTCCAAGAAGTACGGGAGCACACGAAGGACACCTCTGAATCATCACCATGCCTGCTTTCATCAGGTCCATTTTACATGTAACATGACAGCCTTGGGTATCATCCGGACCACCATGCAGTTGGGCATAGCAGCAGTCAAGTGGGGGACTTGCATCATCATTCCTGGAATCATTCCTGCTTTCATCAGGTCCATCCCTGGGGGGTACAGGCATCGCCAAGACGCCTGAGGTGATGTGATGAGATGGCATGCTAACGTGATGTCGTTGCGGAGCCATCACCTGCTCTCCCTCTTGACTCACTTCATGACAGGTCCAGGGAATGGCACCACTTGCTTTAACCCCTCTTCCCTATGCTACTATATCCTACAAACTAAGTCCCCACACCTGCGACGCCTGCTTGTGCCATGGCCGTGAACTGCTGAGGATGACCTTTGGAACCCTGCCTCCCCCTGCCGAGCTGCGTACAGGGCTGAAAGCACACTCGCTGCTGGACTTTTACGAGGATTTGGACGCGGACTCGGCAGGCTGTCTGGCCAGGTTGATGTTAGAAGGCATACGACAGTTCAGGGCTGATCATGGCGCGCTGAAGGATGCGAATCTGGTGCGGGCATACCTGACATACCTAACCAGAGCGTGCGAAATCACGATTCAACAGTGCCCTGCTGCGGAGCTGTCCGAGAGTCACATCAGAACAGTGTGCGAGATCCAGGCTGGTCTATTGTGGCGTATGCGTCTGCGGATTTGGTTCCTTAGGGCTGACCATCTGCTTGGCAATGGGGTCACGCGTGACCTTACGAGACCTGGCCGTTGAGGATGCACTGTCAACAATGTCCTTGCTAGTGATGGCAGAGATGGCGTGGAGCTTCGGAGCCGATGAATTGGTGAATTCAGGCATGACTGAAAGCTGTGACTGTGCCTGGAATTCACTAATTTGTTGGTTTGGAATCCAGCAGTTTGGCCATCCCGGTAAACTTGTTGTGTATTTTCTCCAAGTTCTTGTCGAGGAGTTCTACACGTGCCAAGGTTTCACGGCACTTGTCTAGGGTGGGGTTGGCCCCATCCCCCGTCGTGGGGGAGACCGCTGCAGCCGCCGTCGCAGTCGCCACTGTGCCTGTTCCATCCACGAAGTCCGACTGAAGTTTCAGTAGGATTTCTCGTACATTTTTCACCACATCCAATATGGAGGTGGCAGTCGCTGTCTTAGGCATCCTGACCGAGAGCTCGCTGAGGAGGTTGTTCACTGCCTTGGCCAGCTCAACGTAGCCTCGCAAGGTCTCCTCCAGCTGTGTCAGGAACTCCGCCAACTGTCGATCATGGAAGGCCAGAAGGTTGAGGAAGTGCTGCACAGTGCGCACCCCAGCGATAAACTCCTCTAGCATGTAGCTCTGTAAGAGCCTCCCTCCCAGATCATCATGCTCCAAAGCATGATCAGGCAGCTTAGCCAGCACGCTCTGTACCAACTCGCAGCAGTGACCCAGGGTCTGTTCCATGCATACCAGACGGCGCTGTGCCTTTGCCATCCAGCACACCGCTGCAACTACGCAGAGAGCCGCAAGCACCACGGTCACCATCGTCTCAGGGCTCCACCCTGTGACTAGCAGGTAGACCATTTGCAGAATGCTGTCCAGCCCCCTGCTGTGTCGGGCACATTCCTGCCTCCACCTGAGCTTCCATCACGGAAGCGGTCGCCATGTGGTGGCAACGAAGTGAGCTCGGGCTGAGGGCAGGGTTCGGGCCTAGGAGTGCGCACACACAGGAAAGCATGGTTGCAGTGGCACAGTCTTCGTTCACTGCATACAGAACTCGCACAGTGAGTCACAATAACAGACAATTGGTAAAGGAATGCTCCTAGTCGTCACCAGTTCTCAACGTGCATGCATTGTTTCGTGCCGTCTCGCAGCAAAGAAGTTCTTTGGGAGTGTCCTGTACATACCATGTATTACACACGGAGTCATGAGCGCGCCACGGACTAGGCAGTGAATCATGCTCAACTTCTACAAATGAATGAGTCCTGTACATACCGTGTATTACACACAGTCCATTGAAATTGGGAGGCATGCGAAAACGCCACATAAGTCTGTGCCATGCACTATACATACTCATGCAAGCCGGCCTTATCCTTCCCATCA